TATACACACACATATACATATACAAGAACTTCTTGGTTGTCAAACATTTTCCTGCATCGTGTGGCAGTCATCGTGAAAGTGCAATGGTGATGAGGAAAAATATATTGATGATGGTTCCTCAGTACCCAACCCCATACCTAACGGATGTGTGCGCATTGAGGAAATAGGCAATCAGTTCCTTGGATGACCAGTACCGACGTTTCTGCCTGTGTCTCACTTACTTTCTTCTTCCAAAGCGGTCGACTGCTGCGGAGACCAACCACGCTCACGAAGCTTCAGCACCAACGTACGGACCGAAACGTCGGTATTGGACAGCCACAGGGCTTAGTGTTATGCAAATGTTATTTATCAAAACTGACCTTAACAAGCAATCAGTCCTGTCTTTCCTCTAAAGGACTTTTAGGGAGCCACGGTTGCAGGAACTACTGCTTGCACATCAGGTTCTCACCGCCGTTAGTTTTCTGTGTGCCCGTGCTTGGTTGTCTTTCGCAATATTATGCAGCAATGTTTGTTAGTAAGGCGCTTATGCTCATGGCAACATTTGTTGCACAAGTTAATAAGCTTGACTTAAGAAAAGCATAAATTCTTTCTTAATACTATATTTTATGTAAGTTATTCGGCATGAGCATGGCATACCAAGCAATATCGCTAATCAGATGGTTGGTCAGTACCATCGTTTTGGCCTGGATCTCATGAACCTTCTTCATGGTAGAATTATGAGTCGGCTTTGGAGGGGGTACCTTCTCTTTTTCGAACGAGTCTTTGCGCCTTCGATTCGAAACTGTAGGACAGCTGTGAAAGACAGAAAAAACTTTCGAAGTCAACCCAGTTGTTGTCTAAACGTCCATACCGATCCCTTATCTGATTGGTCACACTGTTTGGGTTGTGTATGAATAAAACCGTGTTTTACGCTGTTTTCAATATGGCCACCAACACACGATCGACATATTGACTCTGTCATTATTCTGGTTTTATAATATACTAAGCAAATTTGCATAGTAAACGGACAACCACATGGAAGTAGGTTTTAAATCGTGGAGAAATATTCGAAATTTTTTTTTCAAGGGTCAAGACTTTCAAAAGAAGACTGAACGCATACTACCTTTTGTCGAAATGTGCCTTTGTGAACCCAAAACAAGCATACAACACCGCAGCGTGCATCGGATCCAGCTACGACGATCAGTACTCAAAGCACTGTATGGATGTGTCAGCTCCATGCCTGATAAGCAAGTATGTTTATAACGCTGTTAATTGTTAATTTATCGAAAGTGAGTAATACATTACTGCGCCATGTCGTCGTCAGACTTATCCTCGTCATTCTAAGCTCGTCAGAAGTAAGCCTTTCGATCCTGCAGAAAATGAGGTTGCTTCAAAGAGGTTTTATAATACTTTATGATGGTCACCATCTCTATGATTTGCTCGTTAACGTCTGAGATAAAAACCTTTGCCGTTTAAGTCGATATTATACCAACCTTGGCACACTAGAATTTTCATTGACTTTCAAACTGTATGCGGTAATGTAGAAAATATCACAATGACATGGAACAGCGGTCTGTTTTTGTTTCGTGTGAAGGATGTGTGTGAAGGACCATTATATCGTGCCTGGTATTGAAGTCGAAATTGGGCCAACTCTTTGGTTTACTGACAAGCGTAGAGTTATACAGTAAGATGTGTTTGGTCTTTTCTCATAAGCAGAGCTCCTTGCCATTTCCTTTGAATCAGTGATAGCCTCACAAACGCAGTCTGTTTATGAAAGGAAGTGCAGGTATAGATATTTGGCTATATCTAGCTGACCTGAGGCATGAGAAGGATACTGTTTTAGGGATCTCCATATGCAGCGCCACTGTGAAATGTGCTCCAGAGATTAGAATTTACAAGGACTCGTCGAATTCAAGAAGCAAGTACGGCAGGGAGGATCCATCAGATTAAGTATCTCCATATTTCGCAATCAAGAAAGAAAATTTCCCTTGCTTTCGTTGATTCCAGTACCTGAGCTGTGAAAATGATATGCCTTTCTTTGCGTCGAAGGCGCCGCTGTTGCTATCAGGCACCGAGACCCCTGTTCTTAGGTAGGACAGAAAATGACAGTTGAACAGTCGCTTCGGCTAGGATGCAGAATTACGACCCGATGCAGGACCGCGCAGGAAATAAGCCTATTTTCTTTTAGACACGGATGTCCCGAGCAAGGAAGAATACGAGTCCAGAAGAACAGACTTTTGAGCACGAGTCCATCGTTCCCAAGCTTTTCACGTGGAACCGAAAATCGGCGCATCACCAGAAAGCCGGCATGCAGCATGAGTGAATAAGACTGAGATTTATGCTCAAAGAGAGACAGGATTCGTTTATTCCATGATGCAGTAGCAGGTGCCTTATAGCAAAGTGTTGAGAAACTGCAAAATATAATGGACATCATGAACCAGAGACGTTCTGCCAAATATACAGCTCATTCAGATAATCATGAAAA